ACCAGCCGATTGCAAAGCCAGTTTCAAGTGACTGCAATCGGCTGGACTTCGGGCCACCCTCCATATTCCCATACCACCACATTTAACTCCTACCTGGCGCTGATGCCTTCATGGCAATAACTACACTGATGGCTTCAGATACCTTCACAACCCCCCCCCCACAAAAAACATAGCTACCTTCCCGATGGCTTCAGATACCCTCCGGTCGAAATTCGTTAAAATGAACCAAAATACCTCCCTGATGGCTTCAGATATCCCCCATGGCTGAAATCCCTTCGAAAAACTACCTAAATCCCTTCCCGATGGCTTCAGATACCCCATGGCTGAAACTCCCTTCAAAAACTACCTAAATACCTTCCTGATGGGCTTCAGATACTTCCATGGCTGAAATCACTTCAAGAACTACCTAAATCCCTTCCCGATGGCTTCAGATACCTCCCATGGCTGAAATCCCTTCAAAACTACCTAAATCCCTTCCCGATGGCTGCAGATACCCCCCATGGCTGAAATCCCCTTCAAAAACTACGCCTAAATCCCTTCCCGATGGCTTCAGATACCCCCCCATGGCTGAAATCCCCTTCACAAAACTACCTAAATCCCTTCCCGATGGCTTCAGATACCCCCCATGGCTGAAATCCCTTCCAAAAACTACCTAAATCCCTTCCCGATGGCTTCGATCCACCCCATGGCTGAAATCCCCTTCACAAAACTACCTAAATCTCCCTTCCCGATGGCTTCAGATACCCCCATGGCTGAAATCCCTTCAAAAACTACCTAAATCCCTTCCCGATGGCTTCAGATACCCCCATGGCTGAAATCTCCACAAAAACTACCTAAATCCCTTCCCGATGGCTTCAGATACCCCCATGGATTGAAATCCCCTTCAAAAACTACCTAAATCCCTTCCCGATGGCTTCAGATACCCCCCACTGGCTGAAATCCCCTTCAAAACTACCTAAATACCTCCTGATGACTTCAGATGAGTCACCCCCCCATGGCTGAAATCCCTTCAAAAACTACCTAAATACCTCCCTGATGGCTTCAGATACCCCCCATGGCTGAAATCCCCTTCAAAAACTACCTAAATCCCTTCCCGATGGCTTCAGATACCCCCCATGGCTGAAATCCCCTTCAAAAACTACCTAAATCCCTTCCCGATGGCTTCAGATACTTTAAATAATTTAAATAATTAATTAACATAATTAAAAAGTATTAAAAGTATTAAAGTAACTCAAAAAGGCATCTGGGCGCGCGAAGGGGCCTGGGGAAGAGGGGCGAAGAGAAAGGGGGCGTGGCCTCCCGGGGAGAGGGGCCCCCACTCGTTTTATTAAGGCGCCACTTTCAAAGTTAATTTTAATAATTTAAACAAAAACTTTTTCGTAATTTTTTTATCAGTTTGGGGGTTTCTGACCACGCTCTATCCGAATCCGAAGAGAGCTAAGCTCTAGCTCCTTTCCCCTTCGAGTTGAATTCGGCTTCACACAGACAGACGGAGACCACAACAAAATTATTATAGTTGATTTGACAACGCATCAAAACAGTATGGCACAGGTTTTCGCGGCGCTTTTTGGCGAGCATTTGAAGGAGCTCTTGAAGCTGGACAAGGTTTCCAACAGCTTCAGTCGAACCACGCCGGCCGGGTGCTCTTCGTTGAGATTCTGGAGTTTGGTTATTTTGGTTTTGATTATTGTTTATATTAGAGGTAATACGGCACTTACGTTTTGTAAATTCGGCCTTGACACAAACCCTTCTACGGCCAACGTCTTTTCCTCTCCCTCGCAGAAGTACATTGTCGTCCCGAGCGCCTGAATTTTGGGCTTTTTATATCACGTCTATTTTCTAGTTGCTACCGTATACATCAAGGCATCGATAGATTCGGAGCTATACGGAATTGGAATCGTTTGATTGACGTGGCGGCGGAAGCCCTCGAGAGCCAGTTCCATGCCTGGAAATTCAGCTAAATTTCCTTAAGCACCTCGGCTAGCTTGCTGGCGTCAAAAGCGTACCAAACAGATCAGCAAACACCTCATCCCGAGCGAGGCGGGCCATGTCGAGACTCGATTCATTCCCATCCCCTCGCAGCTCAATATAAGCCGCGCGGTGGCAATCAACGATGCCTTCGAGGCGCTCGGCAAAGCTTTTCGTCCATTCGTGCACCGGTCTATCACAGATTTTAATATCACCTTAAAGGGGGATGGCGACAAATTTCTCAAGATAAAAGGGTGAGAAACTATTCAAAGCCTTGATATAGCGTTACCGGGCAGTGGTGGGCGTAAGGAAAAATACTAAATAACGGTTTCTGCGTTACCGCAACACCTGCCAACATCGTAGTGCCAACTGAGCGGATCGACGAGGTGCGCCAACTCGTGCGAAAAAGTGAACGCCAGACGGGCCCACGGCACGAGCGTGGAGTTGAGATGCAGCGGCATGGCAAGAGCCGAGTAGGGCTGTAAAATTTTTATAGGTTTAAAGTATTCCTATTGGGATTGCCGGAAGCTCAAGAAACTTGCCCATGCTGCCTCGATCTGCATCAAAATCCGCCCATAGTAGCCGTGCGCGCTTGGGGCGTTTCTAAACGTTTGAGATACTGTAGCAACCTCCAAACATACAATTTATAGACCGGCTCAAATTGCGCTTTGGCCTTGACGTTCATCAACTTCCCGATGTTGGTCATCGGATTGTCGGAGGTGAAGTTGGCGGCGACATGGCGGTGGTATACTGAAAAAGCTGAATTTCTTCTATTTCTCTATATCTCTCTCTCTCTCTCTCTCTCTCGCTCTCTCTCGCTCTTTGACTCACCCTTATCAATCATGGGGTGATGGGGCTGGAGAAATTCTCGTGGGTAGATGTCGTACACCTTCAGTTTGTCCAGCTTCCGCCTGGAAACTCCATCTCTCTCGCTCTCTCTCTCTCTCTCGCCCTCTCTTTATCTCCCTCTCTCTCTTTCTGCATCAAATTCCGCACATAATCACTGCTCGTTCTTCATCAGGCAGCATCGTGGACGTCGTCACCTTGTCCCGGAGCACTTGAAGCAGCGTGGCTTCGACGTCGGACCACTGAATTTAATTCCGAATGTTTCCAAATTACACACAAGTTCCGGGATGATCCGATCGACGATACGGTGGTCGGCGCGCAGCTTGAGGGGCCAAAATTCGTTCCAAGTCGCCTGCATACAGCGCTTCTCGCGGACCGGGGTTGAGTTGTTTGTGTCGGCGTGGATGGAGACGTAATCTTGGAGTTGTTCGACGTAGCGGTACAGTAGATAGTCCTGAAGCGGAGAGAAACTGAGAGAGAGGGGGTGAGCGAGAGGGAGAGAGGGAGTGAGAGAGGGAAAGAGGGAAAGAGAGGGAGAGAGAGCGACAAAGCGTCAGAGACTTCTTAACCTTGATAACCTCGATCGGATATTCCGGCAACTCCCGTATGACATGGATCAGAAAATGGCTGTTGTCGATTTGAATCCTAAACGCTGTCATGAATACTGTATCCCTAGCCTTCACAACCCCTTTAGAAGCACTGGGGTATTACCGGGGCGAGGGAAAACCATCCAAAATTCGACAAATTTTTAGAACTAAAAACTATACAGGGTGTCCCAAAAAAAATCGACCCCCCTCTAGCGGGCCGCAGTCATGCATCCGATTTTGACGATTTGGGTATCTATCGAAAGCACTCGAAAAGGCGAGAAAACAAGCACTTTTCGTTTTTCAATATGGGAATTTTAATTCATTAAATTTAGGGCCAAAATCGATGAAAACTGCAGATTTTATGCAAAATCGGCATGTTAATTGCTTGCTAAAGCAAACAGGACGATGCTGGTTTTACGCTTTTTACAGAAATCATTGAATATCGAGCGAAGGCTAAAATTTTTTGGTAAACCTAAAGGCGCTTGTTTTCTCTCACCGTTTGAGAGGGGCTTTCGAATGGTGTGAAAATCATTCCGATCCGAGCTTTCTGCGGTCCGCTAGAGGGGGTCGATTTTTTTTGGGACACCCTGTAC